CAAAATAGAGCATTTTCAACATTTTAGGGTATCGCCTTGTAGAGCTCGATGAGCTGAGTTCATCGGTATTTTTTTCTTCTCGATTAACTTATTTTAAAGCGATTTATAACGAAAAGACGAAAAAGACGCGAACTCGCGGTATTATCGCAAATTTTGAGTTCTTACGGCGAGTACTGTATACCAATACATTTTCTGTACATTGGGGAGGACACATGTGCTACGAAACGAGCACATCTAGGAACATTGTTACAACGTTCATTGCTAAGATCACTCACAGCTAGGGCAGCGAGCTCCAATCAGTCCAAATCGAGCGGAACGCTTCTTTCTGACGCTGGCTTCGAAATCTGCTTGTCACTATTGTGGGCAAGTTTATCCGTCAATTAGATGATGGTTATCATCAGAAATGGTCGGGCACGGGGATCGCTGTTGTTGGATGGGCGTGCGGCGAATGAAGTTAAGAATTACACCTCTTGTCTTGATCGTGCAACGACACGATCGTGGTGAGATGAGAGGGAGGTTCCTCTTTCCAAGACTTTAGATTGGGATTTTCTTATCATGTTTTTTCAATGCATATGTAACTTTCTTCAAGTTTGTATCTTGAAGAAAGCCTTTGATACGACGGTAATTGTAAACAAGGGTAACCAGGTGTTCCTAGCCACTATACAAGGATGCTTCAAAAACTTCACAACAGGATCTCGCCATTCTATAAAGAAATCATCAACGTGAAGAGAGGACTCCGGCAGCGAGATAAGATCTCGCCCAAACATTTCACTGCCGCTTTCGAGAACATCATGCGTTCTTCAGAATGGGAAGATTTGGGAGCGAATGTCGACAGCTCCTACTAACATCATCTCCGTTTTGCAGACAACATCGTGCTTATACCACCGAACATAGAGCTAGCGGTACGGTACGTATGATGAATGAGTTTAACAGTGCTAGTGGAAAGATCGGCTTCAGAGTGAGTTTAACGAAGACCATGCTCATGAGAAGGCGAATGGTGTCTGGTGCTCCCTTTACTATAAAGGAAAAGAATATCACTGAATGCTCTAGATGTGTAAGGTCAAGAAATCAGTGTGATGATTGACTTAGCCTAGTAGCTGAGCAGAAGGAAACGCGCTGCGCGGGAGCATTCAAGAATATCGAGGGAGTAGTGAAGAAGACAAAGGACATCTGGCTCCGCGCTGACCTTTTGGACACTGTTGTCCTTCCTGCTTTGAAATTGGTCTCGGAGACATGGACTCTACGAGAGGAGGATGAACATGCTGACAACGTTACTCAACGGGCTTCGGCAAGACTGATTCTCGGAATTTCCCTATAATACAAGTGCAGGAGGGCATCCGTCATCGAACGAAGATCAGGGATGCCGAAGATTACATAAAGAAATCGAAGATCAGTTTGACCGGGCACGTTATGCGATATAGTGTCGTCTGGGCAGTCACTGACTGGATCCCTCACGACGTCAAGCGAACACCAGGACGGCCGCCAACGCGATGGTCCGACTTCTTCTGAGAGCTCTGAACGAAAGGAATGGTGGGCCTCGTGTCTGTAGAGAGGGTACGATTCAGTGGATCATTCTAGCTCGGACAGGAATGAATGAAGACGTTACGGCGCTTGCTCGAGGAAATCGACGATCAACAGGACGGCAGGTGATGCGACTACATACATATTTAACTGCGGCTAAAGCAACGTGCATTCCATTGGATTGGATTTGTTAGATCAAAATTTGACTTCACCCTTACAGCGCAATGCGTCGTGCGCCGTATGTCGTCGCGATTGAATCGCTCGTCTCATCCTGCATAGAGGTTGCACCCGTTTTGTATATTTTACTTCATGAAATACTCGTGGTAGAAGGTATGGTACGTTGATGAAAATCCAGGCGCCTTTTTCGTGAATTCGACTTTTCTTGAAATCGGATGACATCATTCCTTAACCCATTACCTTGGATTGGGAAACATTACGCAATGGAGCATGTTTGCAAGGAACTATTGGAACACGGCGGGAATTGCTCTATCATTTGGCAAGTTAGGCAAAGTTACCTTTTCTGAAAAAATGAAGTGAAAATTGTCTACGTTCTTGAAATGGAACTCGTTGGTCTACAGGTTACGGTCTAAAAAAGGCACAGTTTTCATACTGAGCCTTTACCTGAAGTGCCCTGGAAGGTGTTTTGATGAATTGGTGAAGTTCATGGGTGGTTATATCATTAGTGGAAGCTGTGTTTTTTGAAATGTGATTGTAGTATGTTGTAGCTCACAACGTTAGCAAACGTGCATGTAGGTTCCAATGCCATTCTCCAGCTCAAAAAATTGAAATACATTGTCCTGAATTCGAGCTAATAATTTGGGAACACCCTGTACTCTTACAGTGCTGTACATTTTATATTCACACCAGTTGGACTACGCACGCTAACGCGTGCATCACATGCCCACTACCGCTTCTCTACGGCTTGTTGGAGCACCAATATTTAACTATTTATCTATTTACTCGCCAATAGAAACAGTATCGGTAGACTTCCCAATTCATAACTGCTTCCTCACCGCGCTCACGTGACACTCACACTTTTCATCGTACCCACGTGACTTTTCGCGGACGGACGAAAAACGGCATACAAGCAGACACGCAAAGTTACCGCTTTATGTAGAGAGAGACGAGGTTTTTGATGTCTTTAGATCATATTTCTGAATGTAATGATATTCTCAACTTTTGGAATCGAAATTAGTTCAGCTAAATTCGGATGGTAGATCAGCCCGCTACCGATTCAGCCTGGTTACCCCATGGCGAGTGAGTGGAGGGGAGAAGTGGCCTAATTTAGAACTAAAGTTCCACACCTAGCATCTGTCGTTTTAATCGGTGATCTATTAAGAAGAACCGAGATTCGCTTCAATAGAAGGATACCGTATTCTCATAATTAGTCTCGTGGAAGTATCACTTATATAATAGTTTAGTAGTTAGTGGTTGTTTAGTAGACATAGTAGTTTGCCAATACTACTAGGTCTAATCGTTGTAGAAGGCACCTAGCTGTTTAGAGTAAGGGTAGGTACCAGTATATTCCGAATACAAACGCTTAAAGACACAGTTCACGATAATTCGAGGGGCGGAAAACCCTGCTTTTTCGCCCCTCGATCGATATCACGTCAGACGAGTGTCGAGACAATACAGATTGCTACTACTCGTTTTAGGNGGTTTTTCACTTATGCTTACAAGTGAATGAATTTTCGCTTACCGTAGACTGTTATTCGCACCAGGACCGACACGTACGTAGTGAGACACATTGTATTGCTCGTCCAAACGCCTCACTCTTCTTCATTTTCTGTCTCATTCTCGTCCCTCTTTTAACGGGATTTCGAAGCTTTTTTTCACTTTGGAAACACCGATTCACGCAGTTTCTTCACCTTCATTCACCTTCACTATTTTCGATCTTGTCTTCCATTTTTCACATAATCTGGATTACCAATATTATCGTGAACTGTGCCTTTAAGAGGAGCGGAGAATATATAAAACGGTGATCGATGCGATTATATTCATTATGCTTTCTGTTCAGGCTCCCTGTAGAACCTCCATATTGGTCATCGGCTTTTCTTTCCCTTCAATATGGTATTGATAGTCTCTTTATCAAGGTTTATTGGCTAAAGAACTTATAAATTCCATGTTTTTATATGTTTTTTTGGTCAAGCGTTTCGTTCAGGCTTCCTCTGCGAAGATGACCATTCCACCAAAACTACGGCTAAGACGAATGCCTGTGAGATCGTACAGTATAAATCGTATTGCAGTTTTCCTAAAATTCGTTTCACGATTCTGGGGTAATTGTTTGGTCGTATTAGTTATCCATACAACAAATGAAATAGTCAGTGAGAAGAGTATGGTGAAGGTCAGTTACCTACGATGGTGATTTTGAAAGTTCGATATTCTATAAGCTTATTCAGGAATATCTATCTGTAATGGGTCTTTCGGCTCCCGTGTTTTATCTCTCGCATGTGCTTTATGCCACTGGGAAATGCTATATCTTGCTTTCAATATGCGCTACTCCCTTTATCTTTCATCTAGGAGTAAGTTTTTGCTAGCGCATACCTGACAAGAATAGGTATTCATTTGTTTTCCATGTCAGAATTCAATTTTTTCGAGCCATAACGCCTGTGCGACCTCTATCGCTAATGGATAGTGTCTGGAACACTTGCTCGATGGTTAAGATAAGGCACACTATTGACAGAATTGGTGTTTCTGCCTCCGTTTGAATGAAAGCGACAAAGTTGGGCAGATCAATCGCTGTAGCCTTGAGAAATTGGTTGAGAAATTTGCCATATTCGACCCTTGCTATTTGTGCGAAAGCTGCAACTGTTTAAAAAGATGAAAGCTGTAACAGGTGTACAAGTGACCATTGTTGATGGTACCGCTCAAGCTGTTTCTAGCCTCTTAGAAAGTTTGTTTAGTGCAAATCACTAGTTTCCGCGATTTGAGAAATTTCTTTATTGAAGTTTCTATTAAGTGTTTCTTTCAGCCTTTGAGCGCCTCGCTGTTTATCGTTACGATAGCACTGTATGGATTGTCGGTGGTTGTGTTTGCAGCGTTCATATCCTCTCTCTTCAAGACACCAAGCACTGCTGTCGGAGGTTTATTTCTGCTTACTTTTGTGGTTCTTTTTTCTCAAACACCCCTGAATAGGTCTTTATTATACCAAATTCTCTACAGTTCATTTCATTCCAAATATTCGTCGTACACGAATGAACCCTAAGGAAAAATAGTGATGTTTTGCTGTAGAATGAACAGAGACGGTGAAAAAAATCAAGCTGGATTTTCAATACAGTGTAACAAAAGGAGCTGCTCACTCGAGTCTAGTCATGATGGTGAGAAGTGAGGTTACCGTATAAGAAGCTCGAAAAATTATTCTGAAAGCGGCAAATCCGGGATGTGATGAGTGCGAGTGATCGGAGGTTTAGTTTTTGCTAGGTGGGTGTCAGAGACGCGGGTGGATTCAGGGATTGATTTTGTTTTTGCTATGCTGGTCGATATACCTTGTGTACCTCAAAGGCGTATCTACGCATGCGTGTGTGCAGAGTTGTCGGTGTCCTGCACATCGACTCAGCCAAAAGCTTGCATCCGAATGACTGGGCAATATTTGGGGGCGTTTCGAGCAGCCTCCAAAATCAAAGTCCCTCGTCCACCTTGGGATATCTGTGCTGCTACCAGCAGTCAACGCAGCCTCCACGTCAGGTTCTGGCGAGCCACTTGTGTGTATTCATATGCCAGAGCAGTAATACAAATATGCTTCATTTCCCTAAACCTGAGGGAGCCTCCAGCACGGCTGCATAGGGTAGGACCGCTCGGGAGAGGCTGCCAAAGTCTCAGGAAAGAAAAGGTCACTCAAGAGAAGAATTATGATGGCGATCTGTACTTTCAACGCACTTACGCATGCATCAAAGCTAGGAACATCAAGTAGGACTGTCCGAGACGAGAAGGCACGGCTCGTTGCCCGCCATTGTCAAATCTGAAAAGAAATTGTTCCTTGGAGCATGCGACAGCAGAGACATCGGTGGTGTGGGCGTACTCGTGTGCAGGCGCTTGGCTATAAGTCAAGTCATATGAAATCTTGACAGCTCGAATCGGACGTTTCTAATTGAGAAGATCTGACTTCCACTTACCGCCTGTGCCTTGAACGCACAGCCGTAGAGAAGAGGAGATGGAGGCGTTTTATATGAACCCGGAAACCTTCCTCAGAGAGGATCACACTTTCCTCGAGGTCATCGTCGGTGGTTTCAACGCCCAAGGGGCTCTGGAAGAAGGGCTGAAGGGTCACTTATCGGAATCACGGAACGGAATGGAATTGACAGGGTTAAAGTCTATCCGAATTGGTCATGACCACTTTATTCTTGGTAACCTGCAGTTTCAGGAGCCCTCTCTTTTGCGATGGTCATGGGAGTCACTTGAGAGTTCCACAATGAAATAGACCACATCATCTTCAATTAGAAGCTTGTCAGATTAATGCTGCTGTTGTTCTACACAGGATTGGACCGTTGTCTCTACCGTGTTTCTCAGTGCGTGGAGAGAAAGAGCTGTGGAATTCAAAACACGGAGCCTCAAGACGTTCATCAACTAAGACCACTTCGATTCCCTCGCAAGAATGGCAAAATTCCGTTATCGACAACATAGACGAAGAATGCAGTCACCTCGTCGAACATCTTCAAGATAATCTGAGGAAAGCAGGGTCTAGAATTTGTCGAGGGATGTCTTTTATCAAGTACTCTCGAGCTGATACGCTAGATTCGCGCGACCTACAGGCAATCACCAACAAACGGCAAAGCTTGCGAAGCTATGCAAGGACGCGATAAAGGAAAATCTGAAAGATTGAAGAGCAGCAGCTTTAACCGGATCCGCGAGGCTGGGAAAAGCATTCGCAAAGCCCGCTGTAGCTTCGTCGGTTATAAGACCAAGATGACATCAGTTGTCGTTCTGGCAGAATAGTTGCGCACGGTCCCTATCGCTGTACCTACCCTTCCTGTCGAAAAAAACATAACAAAGAATCAAAGCTAGATCGTAAATAACAAAGGGTCTAGGATTTAATTGGTGATTGGATCTTGTTCTCTAAGGCCTCTACTACCGTCAGTGCTCCCATCCTGCTCTCTCTGCTCCTACTGATTTTACTCTCCAAGTTTACGGGGTCAGGAGTTATGGATTTCCATTCAGACGTTTATTTCGCGGTAACCCCGTTCCCTTAGAGGTGGAGTCCGGCCCTACTATCCACCATATGTGTTCCCATCCTGGCGCCTGTCTTCCTGCCAAGTTTGAACGCCTTACACCCAATTGAAAATTTTCACGCAAAACCCGCTCCTTGTGGACGCGGCACGGTCCTGCCACCCACCATAAATGTGCTCATCCTGCCTCCATTGATCCTGCTGAATTTAAATGCTCCAGGTCCACGGGGTATATCCGAAGAAAAAAAGAAATTCAATTGATATAGACATCTGATAATGGTGTAATTATCTTTTGAAAACTTTTATGAATACCATTCAAGGCTTTGGTTGCCTATGTATTAGTCGAATCTTCAATGGGCTATTGTTTTTAAGATGAAGTGCGACAGATCGTTGGCATAAGCATCGGCACGTACTGAGCACCCATTTGCACTGCGGTGTTAGTCCTGTATAAAACCTCATGCTCAGAATGTTTCACTTGTTCCGAAGAAGAAATGGAGAATTAGCCGATTTATTACAACCTTGTGACGAGAAGGAGGGAGCCCGGAGTAAGCTGGACAATGGTACTGAATAATTCCAGACTGTGACCAATGCTCTACAGGAATTTTGTATTTAATTGGTTACAGACGGGCGCTTGCTCTACTACTGTATGATATTGTATAACAACGTACTTATACATATTTAGGGTGGCAAACTCTAGATTCAAGTACGGGGCATATCCTGAAACTGAAAATTGTTCCCTTGTCATATAAAGTTACACACACATGCAATCAAAGTGTTACATAATACACCGCTTTCAAAACTAAAAGTTATCCAACGACTCTCACCAAGGAAGGATCCCAACTCGAAGTGGCCATTTGAAATGAGACCCACACTGCTGGATGTGTTTTTGGGTTTTTTAGGGTTCGGGTTTGATGGTGGACGAAATTTTTGCTTTATATGGAATTTTTCCCTTAGGCGCTAGAAAATACTCTCATGGTGTTTTCATCACGTTGGTCTTTGCTTACTTCCTCCTATCTATGTACCTGTTACCAGTATGAGATTCTTCCGTGCGCAGAATTTGGAGTTCCGTGCGAGTAAAACGCGTATGATTAGCAATGATGTTGCTAGAGTGTATGTTGACGCTATATTGGGTGCGATGGTGCGTAGCAGCTCCGGAATCACCAACACCGACCCTGTTAATAATGGACTTGTGGATATCATTCAAAGACCAGGAAGCTATTCTGTGCGTCTTACCTCTATAAAGGAAGGTGAAGGGAATGACACCCTGCTCGAGACTATCACGAGGCTAATGCAGCAGATAGTGGCTCGTTTCCTTTTAAAAATATGGTAAAACGCACCACGTCATATGTAATGCTCGTGATCTCCACTTTTGCGTGTACACACGAAACCCATTCTTTGCTTACTATCGCTTGTCTACTGTCCGCTTGATCTGAGGTGTTAGATCTAGGAAATTTCTCTTTTATTCCTGTTATGCCGCCGGCTACTTATGCACTCACCCGGGTGATTTTGGACTGCCTACAAAATTCTGTTTTCCTTCTGATTCAGGGTTAGCACGTGTAAAGCAATGGGCTGTGACGAGCTTTTTCATTCGGTGCTCCCATTGCGAGAAGCTTCTTTTTTTCAAGCGTTTCAGCTAGGGTATCACATTTTTTCATAAAGGGACAAAAGTTATCCTAGTGTGAATATAGGGTACATGGGCATGCTAGTGAAACTGAAGTATCACTTATGTGGATAAATATCAGCGCAAGCATCAAAAGGTCATAAAACGTGATGAAGTCACCATAAGAGTATTTTCTAGTGCTTTAGGGAAAAATTCCATATAATGCAAAAATTCCGTCCCCCATCAAACCCGAAGCCTAGTCTCTCGCAGATGAAGCGTCACGCTTACCACTACACCAAGCCACCCTGGGAGACTAGGCTTAACTACTTAATCTAAGTCTTCTTATATTAATACGTTGACGACAACGCGGGACACATATGTCCGCATTTTGCAGGCCACGTGGGACAACGCGGGACACACGTGTCCCGCGCTCATTTCGCAATTTTTTTAAGCGTATGCGTGATTTATTAAAATATTTTTTTGTGTTTATATTGCAGAACATAACAAAGCTACAAACATAATGGTCCATAAAACGATCAGATATAAGGTAGCCATTCTATCAGATGACAAGCTATTTATTTGTTTTGGAGAGTACCCTCTATGAATGTAATGTCTTCTTGAAACTGGAAACTTCATTTCTCTACCAGGAAAGTCGATTATCATGCCTGGCTGCTGGCAAAGATGGGATTTTTTCTCGGCAGGCGACTTGATTTGATGGGAATCCTTTCATTTTCAACTTTAATTTCGAATGGTCACTTTTGCATGTTTGTGTTTGTATTTTTACTTCAGTCAATTTTTTTATGCTTGAGACCTCTGTCCTCTAAGTTAGGCGCACCTTTGAGTGTATGAAATTAATAAATAAAGATGCTTCATCTTTGCAAAGGCTTTCTAAGTCTCACAAAATTTTGGGCAAGTGGTTGAGGCGGCCTCAAAACTGCGTCTGTTCCACGCGACCAAAAATGACTGAACGTGCGTTGTCGTCAACGTGTTAAGCTTCCTGAAACCACCTTCATAACTCCGTTCAGGGAAACGCTCCGCAAATTTGGAAAGCAGATTTGAACTCACCATCCAAAAACACAACCAGCAGTGTGAATCTCATTTCAAATGGCCACTTCGACTTGGGATCCTTCCCTGGTTAGATCACTCGATGAGAATTCTGGAGAGACGGGCAGTAGGAACGCTCTTGTGTAACCGATCCGCCGCACGCTGCCGTCGTGGACCATTTGCCTCATTAAACAGTTCAGCGTTCTTCATACAGTTCTGTCGCTATACGATTATTACTATTGGCATTATTCTACTATTAGTTCTTTTATTTCTGTATTTCTTACTTGCCGCTGCACCCTGCTACACTCCTTCGCGCGCGACGTCACTCTCGCCGTGACGTGACAATTTCGTTCCTACTGCACCACACCCAGAATTCTGTTTTGTCTCCACTTCAGTCAATAGTTGAGTCGTTTCTTCATAGTGCACCACGTTAAGCGTCCGCTGCCAGCCTAATCGGACAGTAAGCGTTTTTAGAGTCCAAAGACATGCGTTGAAAACGCTTAACACACCGCTGGACGTCGTTAGTTGGCAATGCCGACTTGCATTTATGTCACGGAATCGAACATATTGCACATTGCAGCCTTGGATTTTGTTTGCTAAGAGGTTAAAAAGTGGTTATTTCATCGCGATATGCCTCATTCTTGGTTTTTAGGGATGCGCGACGGGCCGCTCACCTGTAATCAGTTGGCCGCATTATTCCTCCATAGTTCTGACTGTAGTTGAAACTCTTCCGTTCGTATCGCAAACTTCTTAGGCGTGAACGAAATACGCACTCGAGCTCCAGAACGCGCCTTAAAATCCAGTTATTTCAGAATAAAGCTTTTCTAGATTTTAAACTACCATCTCCCCTGAGGAATTGCTTCAATGATGTGCTTCGATGAATAATCTTCGAAAGTCCGCTTTGAACCTTTTTAAGACCGAAAAAGGCCTCTTTTATCATGATTATGCTGTTCTTATTGCGGGTGCTGGGTTTGTACCAACCTACTAGGATACAGAAGAACGAAGTCTCATATCTGGGTTTGAGCGCCTGTCTAGGCCTGTTTGTTTGATGTATGTACTTGAAGACGTGTGCTGTGTGTACTTGTACCTGAAGATCGCATCTCGCTTGCTGCATCTAATTACGCGCAGTCGCGCGCTATGAAAGGAGTGCTTCGAATTCCCAATGGAGGGATACGCAATCACTGCCGTGTTAATTGAGGGAAGCCATCTTTCTCGTTTGAAGACACACTTCGCGATAAAAATGGTTTCGGAGATTTGTACATGGTAGTAATTCGGGGCCCCGTCTGACACCATATGTACCGGAATGAAGTCGAAAAACGTTCGGGATAGGGCACAATAAGGGGCCGGAGAGTGGAGCACGGTCAGCCTCCGCCCCTCGCTAGGCTGACTACGAAATCTAATTGCCGTTCACCACTTCCGCATTGAAGCAACATTAGTGAAAATTCAATAATCTAAATTCAAATTAAATTTAAAAGAACACAATTCAACGAAATAAAAACATATGGAAGAAAATTTCGCTGTAAAAACATGAACATAATCAAATTTACTTACCTTCTCGTTCCGGCGAATTTATTGTGCAGCATAATTCAGCTCAATAGCAGCAGGAGAATAACTAGGGGTATGCGTACGAAGGTGTGTCCGAGGGCGCGCGCGGCGAACTGCGCGGCGCAGTTCGTAATGATTTGAACGACTTTGGCGCCTACCATTGGGGCCCATATTTGAAATAGAGTGGATAAAGAGGATCATCCAACCCTACTAAACTACATCACTTCGACTTCGTGCCCCGAAAATTGGCGCCACAGTCGTACATATCGTCACGAACTTCACCCCGCAATTTGCCGCGCGCACCCTCGGACGCTTGTTCGTACCGTCCCCCAATAATTAGTTTTAACGAAAAAGCCAAAATCAGCTGTTTTGGTGTGTTGTGTGCAATTGGAGACACCGCGCCGCGTTCGTTCCCTTAACCGCCGTTTTTTCGCCGTGTGACTCGTCCAACCCCTTTTCTCTTCTTTTTTGAAGCTTTGCTATTCTTTTGATTCATCGTTTTTCGTGTTGTGCATGTTTTCTGCTTTACCACTGTACTATTATGGGTTTTCTGCTTTACCACTGTACTATTTACCTATCATTTTCTGTCAAAAACCGGATACCCCAAAATTATCGTGAACTGTGCCTTTAATCATGGCATTGAGCATGGGTATTAATCACCACTTTCATGACTGCGTCGCCGGCGTGCGTGATTGATAGGGAAGAACGTGTGAGGAAAACTGGTGCATTGCAATGATTTATAAATTTTATTATATTTATGTCCAGCTGAATGTGACAGTCGTTAATCTGGCTACAAACTAAAGCTAGGTAATCGATGGGTTTTGAAATGCTGTCGTATAATAGCAAAAGTTAGTGTAGTTTTTCTCTACATGATATTCCAGTGGCAGTCGCATTGTGGGCTGTAATGGTTGCGATACATTCCTCAGGTCCACGGATCGACCAGGTTCTTTTCTGTGCCCTGTTCTCACTAAACTCGAATGCGGCTCTCTTCTATATACTTGAGGCGTTTTCCTACTACAAACATAGCGGCAAGTAAATCAACTATACTCGCAGTGTGCCTATTCCAATATGGACATAATTTTAGGTCTCGAACTGTCCTGGTCTAACAGCTTTGAAGGTTTCAAACTCCATTTTACCCCTGGGGCCGCGTTGCTTATGCTGCTTGTGGATATAATCTGGATGAACATGGCAACGCTGCTGTTTGATTCCATGTTCAGTGATAGCGACTTCACGCTCTTCAGACTACCATCAGGCAAAAAGGTTGTTCTATATTTTCGTTTTCTTGCCTTTTCAATATTCCTACAACTCACCAGCAAGGGCTAGTCTAATTACCATATTAATCGATAGAATTTTGAATGCTGTTCATGAATATGAAATTTAGACTGCAGATTGGTTTTTCTAAAAAAGATATGGGGGCTCAGTTTGCTTGACGGAGGTGTCATTTGGAAATGCGAACTCGTCGCTTCGATATCAAACGTCAAGGTGGCGTTGTGGGAGCGGTCTCGCTTCACAGGCGGAAGATGCGGATTTGCTACCCGCCACCTTCAAAATTTTTGCATTGTTCTCTTTCGTTTCATTAGAGACTTTCAAAACCTTTTCTGGTATTTGTTTGAGTGACTCCTTATTTCTGCTTGTTACCCATATCCCAGAAGGAATGGATCTGCACGTTAATTGCATTACTCTGTTTTACTTTAAATTCAACAAAATGATGCCGGAGATGTACAAGGTGCCTGTGAGGATTTCAACCTGAAAAATGTGTGAAGCACTCAGGTTGCTCACTAACTCCACAACCTACACATGTTGATTCCCTACAGCTAGAAACAAAACAGTTATTTGTCTAAAGATTGAACTGCTACTCATAACGGGTGACACAGGAGCCTGGATTTTCATCAACATACCCTGCTTGTATCAAGTGCATTTCAACAACACACATTATGGCTCAGGAGTTCACGGTCGATTGCATTTAGACTTGCCTTTTTGAGAGCACGGATGTTCATCAATAGCTGCCCCTTATGTGTACTCGTAGTCATCCTTTCGTGGTACCAACACAATCACGCAAGCTGTGCCCAAAGATGTGTAACACGATTTACCATTGCACATGTGATGCGACGCGGTTCACTTTTTTACGAGCACTTCATTACAGGATGCAAAGTTGAAGTCCATCACATACCTGTCGGTGCTACGTCATTGATTCAATCATTGACAGCTTTTTTCGTCAGTTCTATGATGAACGTCATAAAGGGAATACTGCGAAATTTGGTAGATCACAGAGAGATAATATCCTTCATGTTTTATCACAAGTACATCGAATGTGGTGTGCACCATGTTTTTCAAATTTCTGAAATGCCCTTGGTATAAGCAGCTTGGTATGTTGATGAAGAGTCTAATTCACGCTTGTGACAGAGATTATTTACGTTGTACACTATCCATCATAACATCGGAAGCGAGTAAAACTATCAGAATATTTTTTCGCCTCTACCTGTTGCCGTCACAATTTAACAGCACAAACAAACTCTATAAAAGAAAATGAATTTGAAATCATCCGCAGCTCCTCATGCCAGCCTTCTTATAATTCCAGTCGGATCGCCCGGCTGACGCCGGGTGCTCCTCTTTTCCGTGTAAGAATACCCCGTCGCCTACGTTGCCTCAAATTTGAATGCTCTGGTTCAGTCGAACAGGGAGTAAAAATTGTGGCTAAATACACACAATTAATATCCACATACAGTAGCGCTCAAAAGTATTCGGCCAACTTTAACTTGCCGTAACTTTTTTCACAGTGGAGCAAATCGCATGAAGTTTTGATATGTTTCACTGAAGCCTATTTCACACTATCCAACACTATTTGACTGCAATACAGCCATATCCACATACTAATGGGGGAGGCGTATGTAGACTATGCTGAAAGCAAGTTTGTGACATCTGCAGTTATCCGCACCTTATTAGCGTATTTCTCCTTTTCTATGTTCGACATTAGCGCTCGTACACTTTGGACACGGCAAAAAGGAAAGAATCCCTAGGAGCACCAGTGTTCCTATTTCCAGTTGGTTTTTTTCAAGCTCTTTGGGATATTTGGAACATGATCAAAATGCAGGTTAATAGTGGTAAATATTCATATTACACCGATGCTACAAGTTGAAATTTCGCTT